CTGGCCCTGAAGTTACTCCTGAAATTATTTGTGAGGTTGTTACAAATTTGGAGACTAGGTTTGTTCTGGTAGGAACCGTGGCAGGTTTTGAAACTACTGAGTCTGGAAAGGTTGGTGGTAAAAATAAAAAGAGAAAAGAAAAAGATAGTGAGTTTGCTCGAAGTGCTGTGAGGGGTATGGGAAAAGGAGTGGTTGATTATTCACCCACTCCTGTTGGTTTAACTAAAGAATTAGGTGATATGGTAGTTTGGAGTGAGGAATCTGTTGGAGAAGAAGAGAGTGTGAGAGAAACATGGGGAAGTGGGTCTGGAGAAGCTGCTGAAGGGTTGGTTCGATTAGGGAAAGATGCTCAAGAACCTATTCCATATGAACAGGAAACCCTCGCAGACTTACTGAGAAAAGTATCTGACAACTACAATCCTAAAAGGAAAAGAAGTTTAGGAGCCAAAGTCCCTGATACTGCTAGGGCAAACAAGAAAAGAAAGGGTGCTTCGTCTATACCTGTAGAGATTTCTCCTACAAGAGGAAGAGCTACAACAAGTTAGAAAAAGCAAAGTAAGGCTGAAATGGAAAAGACCTTAGAAGAAAGTAAGAAGAAAGTTGTTGCTAAGGGAAAGAAGAAGGTGGTTGAGCCTGTTAAGACAATTGCAATTGATGAGATGGACCTGGTCTTTCGGGATGAAGATGAGACAAAAGAATTGAAGGTTGTGACTCCAAAGGCTAAGAAAGTCGAGATTTTCAGAAAGAAGTCTATTTCAAAATCAAAGTCGGTTGAGCCATCTACTTTGGCTAAAAGAACCAGGTCTGCATTAAAATCAAGAAAAAAGAAAATTGTAGAAGAAGAAGAAGAAGAAGAAGAAGAAGAAGAAGAAGAAGAAGAAGAAGAAGAAGAAGAAGAAGAAGAAGAAGAAGAAGAAGAAGAAGAATCTGATGATGAGAAGGACAAGATGGCTAAGTTTGGGAAGAGAACCATGTTGAAAGGCAGACTCCCCAGGGACATGGAGGAGGAAGGTATGTTACTGCTGCTGGAGAAGTTACAATTGCAAGGATGGAAGAACATGGTCCTTCAGATGGATGGAAGGCTGGCCAAAACTGAGATTGTGGAGTTCATGGCAAAATGTAAGATCAAAGATGGTAGGGTCACCAGTGTGGTCAAGGGGGTAACAATGACTTTTGATGAAAAAGAACTGGGAGAGATCTTAGGTGTACCTGCTGAAGGGTACAATAATTATAAGAATCTCAAATGGCCAAGTCTAGAGAATCTCCTTACTGCCCTTGCCATTACTAGAAAGTTTGGTGACAATGAAGAGGAGCTTGAGCCCAAGGATATTTACAAAAGTGAGATGAAGCCATCCCACAAAGTGTTATTCGAATTTATTAATAAATGTGTGCTGCCAAGGTAGGAAAGGAGGCACATTGCCATATTCATGGACCTGGTCCTTATGGAATATTTGGACAGTTGGAGGCAATTCAATTGTCATGTATTTATCATCCGGTTTCTTGACAGGGCTCTAAATGGCACCAAGACTCACGTCATACCCTATGATTTTATTCTCATGGTTGTACTTGTACATTTCAAGGTACCCATCAAGAAATGGGAAGTTGGTACAAGCAAGGATCATTTTGGGGCAAACACTCTAACTGCTTGTGACTATGAAGTCCAAACAACTCCCAAATAACCTGGTTCATCCAAAAAGGTACCAATGAACAACAAAGTGTGAGCTTTGGTGCAAGAAAGTGGGGCTAAGGATGCTGAGATTGATAGGCTGAAGAAGAGGTTGGCAGAGGTGGAGACTAAGAGAGATGCTCTTAGAGCTGAACTGGCAAAAGAGAAGGAGAAGAATGATGGCATTCTTCAGGATATGTTGAAACTGCTCCAAGCCAAAAACCAAGAACCTGGTCCTTCCCAGCATTAAACCTCCTAGCCTAGTGTAGATCGACAAGTGACCTAGTTCGGGATTATTATTTTTTGCTTCTTTTGCTCACGATCCAGTGTTTTTTTTTTTATGCTTTGTGGTAGGATCTTATCAATCAATGAAATTCACTACTTTTGCTCTAATTGTTTGTTGATATTTCGTAGATGGATAATATCCTTAGATTGATAAATAATGCTTAAATCCATGATTGCATTTGAAGTAGCCCCTGTGGCCATGAGTAATTTCTATTAAAATCTGGTTATCTAACATGATTATGCAACTTTTCGATGATACCAAAAAGAGGAATTAGGTTATGCTTTTACTTTGGACTGTGATGTTTATAACCTAATGAACCTGGTCCTTGATGATTAGTGACTTTAAAAAGGTAAAGTGTTCTAAGTATGTGTTGATGCTGAGCTGAGTTGAAATAGGGCCTACTCATATAAAAAGCACAGAGTTTGTCTTCATAAAAAAGGGGGAATTTGTTGGCCTAAGTGAAGTTTGTTTTAAAGATTGACAAAGGAACTCAAGCATGAACCAGGTCCATCCACAATGTACCCAGACACGGTCAGATTCAAGTATAAGGGATGGACGTGAGGGAGATAAGCTTAACTTGCTATATCTGATATCTCCTGATCGAAAAGGTTGCATAATTGATAAGGAGAATGACTTCTTACTCAAAGAGAACACTATCCAAGATAAGGAATGAGTTAGAAGTTGGAGTTAACTAGAGTTCTTCCGCCAAGGAAGAGTATAACATTGGAACTCTAGTTATTTTATATTCTACTAACTCTATAAATGACAAGATGTTCTCACTTTACAGGTACGCACAAAAGCTGAAGTTAAATATGAGTTGAGAGGAAAATAGCAAGGCATTTTGCAAGCAATTCTTGTGATTCAAGTGTGCAAACCTGAAGCTACCTGAACCAAATAGAAGAACCAGTTCCAAGTGATTGTCTTTTATTCTAGTTTCATTATAGTAGATGGTTTTCAAATTGTACCTTTCAGCTTTATCTAGAGGCAATTGTATTAGGTACTCTGAGTATTCAAGTTAGAGTTAACTTGAAGTTGTCGCAACAGTTAGAGACTGGTTGTCACAACGAGATTAGAGGTAATCCTTAGGTTTATAAAGAGTTTTTGTAAATGTTGTTTTGGCGCAGTGATTTGATGAAGCGTTGGAGAAAATCCTACTGACTAGTAGGTCGTGATTTTTTTCACTTTTTGAGTCGGGTGTTTTCCACGTAAAAATACTTGTGTTATTTACTTTCCGCATTTATTATTTCTGCAATAGTAGTTTAAAAACATATAGAAGAACCAGGTACTTCTATAATCTGTGCACACGAAAATTGGACACCACACAAATCAACCCTCTTGTGTGGCATTGAAGTATAAAACATTATAAAGTTTGGTGATTAATTTTCCTATTACTTGAAATTGACTTTATCCTTTCCAGATATGGGTAAATTTAATAGATTGACTTGATTATTTGATTCGTAAATAAATTCGATAGTTGATTTAATATTTTGACTTTGTAAATCTTCGAACAGTGAGTTTTAAGTTATTTTTTTACAGTCTGTGGAGTGCTTTTTGACTGGTTGTAGACATTTTCTTTTTCTTTTTCTCTTTTTGTTTTTTCCACTATGACAACTTAAATATCTGCTAATTCCATTCTTGAGGTTTATCGCATTTCAGGAAGTTAGAGAGTTCTATACATTTTTCACTCTTAAGTATGCACCGATTTTTTAAATTTTACATATTTTCACTCTAGTCCGAGCCTATTCCCTGCTATCACAAATAGGGCGCAGTGATCGTGGTAAAACCCTAGAGTAGAAAATAAAATGACATAATTGCACCTTTCTCGAAGAAATAGGAAAAGACTCTTAAATGTCAAGACAATTATGTCATTTTTCTATACTCTAGGATTTTACCACGATTACTTATAAAAAAAATGACATAATTGCACCTTTCTCGAAGAAATAGGAAAAGACTCTTAAATTTGGAAGGTGCAATCATACTCTAGGGTTTTACCACAAATGATGTCTTGACATTTTTTGGAGAAAGGTGCAATTATGTCAATTATGTCAATTCAATTCTTCCAAACTTATAGCTCCAAATTATGTCATTCATATAACTCAAATATTGGATTAAAATTATCACCTTTTTAATGACTATATTGTGGATATTGTTATTGTTAAGGCATATGAATGACATAATTTGGAGCTATAAGTTTGGAAGAATTGAATTGAGATCATCCACCTAAGACTAAGGTAATAATTTTAATCCAATATTTGAGTTATATATGTAATTATGCTCGAGTTTTTACCTTTTAAATCATGATATTTTACCTATACATCTATGAGATCCCCCCCCCCCCCCCC